GTTTTGAGATCCCAGTTTTTAGCTAGGCTAGAAAAACATGTTTTATTCCATTTAATTCGGCTTAAAATGAATATTTTTCACTCATGAACGTGCTAAATGAAAATAATTAACATTATAATATCAAACAAGACGGAGATCGTAAACATATACATATATAATTTTCACCAGAATTGAATTAATTTGGCCAGTATTTCCTTTTTTTTTCTGACGAGTCGATTATTATTATTTCACACAGCGACTAATAATTAAATCATTTTCCGGAGTTTTCACTTGAAAGTATTATATAATTGAACATATTTTGAAATCAGTATCTGTCTATATTTCTGAGATGAGGTATTATGTACACTATTTACATTATTCAGACTATTGTCCTCATCTTTGTCGCCATATTTATTACAACATTTCGGCCTTTCAGTATCTGTCTATATTTCTAAGATGAGGTATTATTACATTATTATTTACATTATTCAGACTATTGTCCTCATCTTTGTCGCCATATTTATTACAAAATTTCGGCCTTTCAGTATCTGTAAATATTTCTAAGATGAGGTATTATGAAAATTATTTACATTATTCAGACTATTGTCCTCATCTTTGTCGCCATATTTATTACATTTCGGCCTTTCAGTATCTGTCTATATTTCTGAGATGAGGTATTATGTACATTATTTACATTATTCGGACTATTGTCCACATCTTTGTCGCCATATTTATTACAACATTTCGGCCTTTCAGTATCTGTCTATATTTCTGAGATGAGGTATTATGTACACTATTTACATTATTCGAACTATTGTTATGGTAGGAATCATTCAACGGAGACCTTTTTTAATATGGAAATATTAAAAAGTCAGATTCAAGACGAGAGCTCAACGTATAAAGTATACAGAGCAATATTATTCATATTAAAAACACTTAAAATCACATTAAAGAAAGTAAATTAATTTATTTCGAGAGATAATTTTTACCCGCCTCTTCAGACCGATACGTTTTAATAAATATATTGAACCACACAATTAAAAAAACGATATATTCAAAAATGAACCAGACAAAACCAGATAAAAAAAATGAACATATGTATGTATATATATATAGAGAGAGAGAGAGACAGAGAGAGAGAGTGAGACAGACAGACAGAGAGATGAACAGAATTAGACAGATAGATAGATAGATAGATAGATAGATAGATAGATAGATAGATAGATAGATAGATAGAAAGAAACACAGTGACCATTTTCACTAATTCATTTTAAAATTCGCAGGATTTTTCAAACTGTTTATGCTATCAGTTTGTAGTGTACTGTTTATCTGGAGAAAGAAACAGATTGAGGTAGAGGGGACTTATTGGGAGGTATATTGAGAAGAAAAAAGCATTGTTACTGGAATCATATTATGTAGGCTGGAGAGCCTGGGTAGGGGGAGGGAGGTGGAGACCAATGGACTGACCCACATCCTAATGGTCAGCGCTCTTTTGTGAGTCAGTTCTATATTGTAATAATAGGACTCGCCTGGATTTATACCAACGGATATATATATATATATATATATATATATATATATATATATATATATATATATATATATAAAAAGTTATAGTAAAAAACTTAACGGTCAGGGTTGAATTAGACAAAAACAGTAGTATTAAAAAGTTCTCAATACATATATAAAGAAATAGAAATTTTAACATGTATATATATATATATATGTGTATGTGTGTGTGTATGTGTGTATGTGTGTATACAAACGCATATTAAAAAGTTAATGGAAATAATTTTATCAAGAATCAAAATAAAACAACAATCACAACAACAATAATAACAATAATAACTATCCACTTATCATTATTATTATCATTATCATTATTATTATTATTATTATTATTATTAGAAAGTAGTAATCATATCAAGAGTGCTGGATATTAAAAGGACTGAGTGTCATTTGATCAATGGTTAAAGTCAACAGTTTTTTAAAACTAAACGTCTTTCACTTATTTTACGCTACTACTACTACTACGAAAATTAAGACTACTACTACTACTAGTAGTACTACTACTACAAAAACTAAGACTACTACTACTAGTAGTTCTTGTGGGAATCTAGGCATAATTTTCATAAAGAGGAGCCGAATTGTCGGTGGTCATGAAAAAGAAAACAAATTTACTGAGAGAATTTGAAGGACGTTATATATTATCTTCGAATTTATAACAAAAATTTTAACATGGAGATCTTTTAAGGGCACAAAATTAGGAGACGAAAGACGATTTCGCCGAAAGATATGAAAAGGTTGAAACTAAAGATCGAATGGAATCGACTGATCTCCTAACTTAAAAATGGATAAATCAAATAACTAGATATTAGCAACCATATATGCACGCGTTTTGCGTGCATATACCGGTAAGCGAATAAATATTTACTAAAATTTGCTTTAAGCTATAAACATAGCAGAGCTCAATGTGGTTAGACAAAGCTAAGAAATATATATTAATAAATATACATATACCTACGCACTCCAAATATAGTTATTAACACACACACACACACACACACACACACATATATATATATATATATATATATATATATATATATATATATATATATAAGGGAATATCTTCATTCAAGCAGGTTTAGTTTGAATAATTTAGATATATTATGACAATTTTATGTTATTTTAACCCTCTTAATTCACGGATCAATTTCTTAGTGCTGTTACAAAACTGATTAAGAAGGACGCTGTAGTTTTGTTTATTTCTTTTAAATTCTCAAGTACTTTCAATCACATCCAAGATCATCTTCAGGAGTGATTTGTAGGTTGAGCATTTTCAAAATATTAATAATAAAAAATTAAACTCCTCCCTTCCATATTCTTAACATCAATTCACTATAACAGAAGGTGTTTCATGCGAATTTACAAAAGATTCACAACTATTAATTGCATTCATTTTTGTCTTAGCAATTGAAGATTGAATGAGATTCAAAGTACTTAATAACTAACCAAAACTACGATGATTTTCTTAATAAGTTAACAACATTAAGAAATTGATATGTGAATTTGAGAACATTAAAATAAAAATAAATAGACATAATATATATATATATATATATATATATATATATATGGAGATAGAGAGAGAGAAAGGAGGAGGAGGCAAGGAGAGATAAAAAGGTTTAAATAGATAGATAGATAGATAGATAGATAGATAGATAGATAGATAGATAGATAGATATGAACACATTGTGACAGATGAGCCCATTAAAGCACATTTTACTGAATAAAGCCTCCGAGATTTTGTCGGCTGTTCTAACCGCCCACATCGTTCGTCCTTGTCAATTAAAAATAGAATTATTGATTTATGTCTCACTTTTGTCACTGCATTTCTCTACCACCCGCACCTATTTCCCTCTTGTCTTTCCCCCTACCCCACCCCGACTCTTGTTTCCCATTCACTTTTCATTCGTTCCGTTTCACAAATTCATCCCTTCTTTCGTTTATCAGTTTTTCTGGCCTTCTTTCTTTCCACCTTTATTTGTACATTTTTCTTTCTTTCTTTCTCCTCTTCCTAGATAGATAGATGAACAAACTGAGATAGATAGATAGATAGATAGATAGATAGATAGTGAACAGACTGAGATAGATAGATAGAAATAGATAGATAGATAGATAGATAGATAGATAGATAGATAGATAGATAGATAGATAGATAGATATAAAAACACTGCGATAGATAGATAGATAGATAGATAGATAGATAGATAGATAGATAGATAGATAGATAGTGAACAGACTGAGATAGATAGATAGATAGATAGATAGATAGATAGATAGATAGATAGATAGATAGATATACAAGAGTGGAATGGGTAGATAGATAATAGATAGATAGATAGATAGATAGATAGATAGATAGATAGATAGATAGATAGATAGATTTTTGAAATCAATTCAACCCAAAGCAAAGCAGTTGTGCTCTTAGCACGCAGGGGATTACAGAGAGTGAAAGTGAGGGAAAATACCGGATATAGAGGGGGGATGAGAAAAGGATAAAAGAAAAACAGGGATCAAGGCAAAAGAAGATGGCGATTAACGTTGCATTTAAATTTTTGAACATTGTAGTTATCAGTGAAGCATGTAAGAGGAAGGGAGTTCTGCTGTCGGGAAGTGCGAGAAAATAAACTGCTGGTGTAGAAGTGCGATTACATTTAACTACTTCAACAGTAAATGGGTAGGACCTAGATGCCAATCTCTTAGCACGTTTAAATTCATGTAGTCGGGGTATTAATGAAGATAGCCCATCAGAACAGAAATATTTGTAGAAAAGACAGAGGGAAGCCACATTACGTCTATGAGAAAGTGACTGAAGTCGTGATCTCAAGTCAGGAACGATTACATTGCAAATCCTTCTTTGGATTTTATCGAGAACCTTGAGATGAACAGCAGGGGACTAGACCAGATATGGCAATAGTATTCAATGCATGGATGAAGGGTAGATTTGTAGATGTGTAAGATGGACTCTGATGAGTAAAACCTTCTGGCACGACACAGTGAACATACTTTCCTTGCAGAAGATGCAACTATTGATTCAATGTAGTTGTTCCACCTCAAGTCATTGGAAAACATGAAGCCAAGGAGGCACAGTTAGACACACTCACATAATCAAACATCACCCATGATGATAGGGGACAGGGAAGTTTCTCTGGGGCAGTTAAATGAGAGCAGTTTAGTTTTGGAGGCATTAAAGTGTACAAGTCATTCACTGACCCAGTTAACCACTGATTTGAGATAGATAATGAACAGACTGGGATAGTGTTGTGTCGTGGCACAATAGTAAAAATAAGAAAATCAAGTCGAAGTTGGTTTAAAGAGCAAGTGTATTTAACATCACAGATACAAAGGTAGGAAACGGGTACTACTCAGCTAGGAAGTTGTAGTACTGTCGCTGCTTACACCGGGTAGGTATTACTGGCACTATATATAGTGAGAACCGGTGTAATTCCCTTGTGTTAGAGGCCGGTGCAATAGATAGATAGATAGATAGATAGATAGATAGATAGATAGATAGATAGATAGATAGATAGATATGAAAAGGACTGAGATAGATAGATAGATAGATAGATAGATAGATAGATAGATAGATAGATAGATAATGAACAGAGATAGATAATGATAAGAGATTGATAGATAAATAATGAACAGACTGAGATTATATATCTCATAGGTAGATATTTGCAGATAGATAGATAGATAGATAGATAGATAGATAATGATAAGAGATTGATAGATAAATAATGAACAGACTGAGATTATATATCTCATAGGTAGATATTTGCAGATAGATAGATAGATAGATAGATAGATAGATATGAAAAGGACTGAGATAGATAGATAGATAGATAGATAGATAGATAATGAACAGAGATAGATAATGAAAAGAGATTGATAGATAAATAATGAACAGACTGAGATTATATATCTCATAGGTAGATATTTGCAGATAGATAGATAGATAGATAGATAGATAGATAGATAGATATGAAAAGGACTGAGATAGATAGATAGATGATAGATCTTTATTGCTTTTCGTCTCCGTTTTTTGTTTTTCCTTCTTCATAATTTCCCTCTCTCTTTATCCCTTTGAATTATTCATCCTTTCTTTTTGTCTTTCTCCTTCTCCCTTGCTTCATTTGTCGCTTTTCGTTATCAACCTTCATTTCAATTTCTTCCTCCTCTCATTCACTCTTTTTTTGTTTTTCTTTTTTCTTTTCTCTATTTTTGTTCCTTTCTTTCTTTCTTTCTTTCTTTCATTCATTCTTTCTTTCTTTCTTTTTCTCTTTTTACATTGTTTTATTTTTTCTATTTCTCTTTTCTCATCTTACGTTCCCTTTTTCTTCTTTCCTGATTTCTACTCTGTCTTTCTCTCTCTCCCCCCCTTCTCCCTCTCTCTCTCTCTCTCTCTCTCTCTCTCTCTCTCTCTCTCTCTTTCTCACTCAGTTTTCCAGAGACTAACACGCAGGCTTACTTATATACATATTCACATTCATAAAACTGTGGTAGTTTAAATACACGTAAAGGTTCTTTTTTTTCTGTTTCCTTCTATCTAGCTGTCTACGTGTCCGCTTGTCTAATTTTGTTACTATCTATCTATCGTACCCCACTTCTGGTCAGTCAGTGTGAATGTGTTACGGTCAGAGTTACCCCTAAACCTAACACTATCTTTCATGTGTAAGTATGGAGATATATTACAGATTTCCATATTAAATATTTATTAAATTTGCAAATAATTTATGGATATTAAAAACCCGACAGGTTGACAAGACATTGTAAATGATGTGGTATACCTAAAAAAAATAAGGGTATCTAAATGTTGATGGTACAGCTATCATACCATATTACTCCAGACCTTATGGCTTATCGTTAGGGTTGTCAGAATCAACTGCACCCTAGTGCAAATTAAATGAAAGAAAACGAATAATTCCGTTATTATTTACTTTCTGTTTGGATTTTTCCAATGAAACATGACCCAGTGCACATGTTAATACTTTTTATGTCCATTCCATGGAGTCGTTCCTTGCAGATTGACCACGGATTCTCGATTGGATTTAAATCAGCAGAGTTTACGGGCCAATCTAATACTTTGATTCACTCACTGGTAAGGCTTTCCAGTATGTTTTTGCAGTGTTACAGTTTTCGTGCGTTTCCCTGGAGTAACGTCCATCGCAGACAATGGCCGTAAGACAACTAATCGACAGACGAGATAATATTGTCTGAGCGTGATAGAAATCTGATGTAATTAGAGATGATGCAATATTTTTCAGGGCCAAAGAAATTTCATCACGCACCCCGAAAATAGGTTCATATTAATGCACACCACTGCAAATAACCTAATCTGAGGGAAAAAAAAGAAATCGATTACACCCTGTCTGTCCAGTGGGTCTAAAACTGACCGTAAGGTGAAAGAAAGGAAACTAAATCGGTTGTTTCAATTCATTTGTACAAGGGTTTACATGTGATAAGTCTCATGAAAAGGGTTGTTTTCTGTTATGGTCCGGTTCCTTGGACTACGGTGATAGTCCAAGGTAGAACCAATAAAGAAGAACTCGAACACGTATATGGAATAACACAGATATATTACAAACAGGAATATATACAGAGAAGTAGAAAGTGTTAGTACGAACAATCAGGTTTAGTAGAAAGAACAATGTAGTCTCGACCAGTATCACTATTCCAATGTCTTGCAGTAATTGTCTGAACGTGACTCTGTTTCGGACTGCCGCTGATTCGACTCTTGACTCGACTTGAACTACTGACTCGCAGTATTTATTAAGTATGGAATAGTCCATTATTATTATTATGAGTAAGATCCCATAACATTTTCAAAGGTAGACTTACACACGTTGAGAGTGAGTGGGCAAGAAACTGACCGACACGATGAGAGGTAAATTATTTTCTGACCTACCACCCGTTTCCCACAAACAAAAGTCGCAATCGTCTCCCTACGCTATCTGACCAGATATAACCCTTCGTTCCATCATTTCAGGCATTTACAGCTAAAGTACGACCTTCTACGTGCACAGGGTCGAATCATCCACACTTGCTTCATATTCCATTGCTAAGGAGGAAGTTCCGTTCGGATATTTTATTCTCTATCTGCTTTGTGAAACAGATTCCCGAGAGCATACTCCCCCAATCACCTGCACAGGAATGAAGACAAAAAATCTGAATTAGTTTTTCTTGTTTTATAAGAAGTGTTAGTGTGTTACCACAAGAAAATGTTCAGCTATGGCTCTTCTTTCTGGGTGAGGCTTAGAACTTTTCAAATGACGCTCGTCCAATGACCCTGCTTAAGGGTAAATCGGCTTGATGGAATTTGTTCTGAAAGACCGCTCTCTGGCAGTGTACAAATCACAACTTCTGTTTCCTTCTTTAACAACCCGTTCATGGGTCACCTATTATTATTTTTATTGCCGACAATGGAAAAAGAAATTATCGTGACAAGGTACTGTTGATATTGATCAGGTACCATAAAACATGAATTGGACTCAATACGTTCTTATCATTAACCAGTTAAAAATTACAGAATAAAAATACGTAAATGAAATGAAGAAACCAGTAATAATAAATTACTAACCTGGGAAACATAACATTTATGCTGTAGAGATACCAAACACCAAGATAATTTAACCAAGTATAAGAGACTCGTTGGTTCATGTATGAATTCTTTCTCTACTTTTTAATTTTTTCATGTATATGACTAAGGGTGCTTAGGAATAGAAAAAGACTCACCTAATCCCAGGTTGAAACTTCTTCCCTGTCTTTTGAACAGGAGTAGAGATTTTTCTTTTGTGTCCTGCTTAGAATTGCATTTCTTTCTCAAAAAGATAAAAATGAGAAAATGGTACTTGTAGTGAATGTAATTCCCACTGTATTTCTCACAATGTTGACAACTTCAAATGAGAGTCACGGCTTTGAACCCCAAATGAGTAGGATGACTTAGAAATTCAAATGAGTAGTACGGCTTTGAACCTCAAATGAGTGGCACTTCTTTGAACCATGTGAGCATGAATCCGGGCAATGATAGTCTTTTTTCTATGTTTTGATATAAGATTGAAAATTGTGCGAAAATGTGTCTTATGGTTGCAGCAGTAGAGCTTCAAGAGCTCTGATGCGAGTTCGAACCTTCTTTGCCCATATTCCTTTCCGTGCTCGTCGTTTCAACAGTGAGACAAACCACCATCTCCAGCCGGGTAGGTGATCATGATCTCAGCCTCCAAGAGAGCAACTCATTGCATCTTCTTTCCACTGAAAGAAATGATTATACTTAATCAATTACTTACTGGCCATGTTTTACTTACCGCCCGGTTCACACTCTTCCCCCGTCTTTTGAACAAGATTAGAAGCTTATCCGTTGTTTCCTGTCTAGTTTTGAGTTTCCGTTTCCTTCTCGTAAAGTCTTTTTCAATCTCAGTAGCCCGTGACATTATTGCTTTGCTTCGGGTAAAATGATTTCTTTTTTAACTATTGATGTACTCTGAAAGTTTGTATTTGTCACATTGTGTCACATATATTTTTTCAATTTTTCCCGAAATGTTTACTTCCTGTTTTTAATCTGCCTTGGCCATGTTCATTCGTTATCTTTTTATTTAATACACCTCTCTCCTCAGCATGGCTTTTGGTGAAAATGAGAATTATAAACTTATTATAGGCAATGTTCCTTTTTCTCAGACACCAGGTTACCAACGCTGAGATCATTTGACCAACTCTAATAGACTCGCTGTATAGTGTATGGGTCCTTCCTTCGTCCCCACTCCATCGGAAATAGGTTGGCAAACGGTGTCCCTGTCAATGTTAGCCATAGCATCATTGATGGTTGCCTTGAGAGCCTCCTTTGTGTTGTAGGTCATGCTGTTCATCTCCTTCTCCAAGCTTACCCACATAAAAAAATGTCAAGAGGATTGCAGTCTGGTGATAAGAGGATAACATAAGTCGGACGATTAGTGAGCAAGTGGTACCCCTTGAATATATAAGTGGTACCTCTTGAGTATATAAGTGGTACCTCTTGAGTATATAAGGTTTATAATCCAAGTCCTCCTTGACATTACACCCCATTGTTCACCTGCTGGTGCGCCCATTTTCCTTGTCGATTTTCATCATGCTTTTGATACGGTCCCCCTTCAACCACGGCAACGTGGTCGAAGCACTCTGGCGTCTTGGTGGCACCAGATCGCTTCTTATGAGTCTTGCGTTCTGGCCTGAAATTGTTCTTGTCGCTTGAGGTCTCGTATGCGTTTGCAAGGTCGTAGGCCATGGTTTTAGTTTATTTAAACCATTCAATGATTTCCTTGGCTTTGCGGCCGACGCTAAGGCTTTCCACAACAGCAGCTCGATTATAGAATTCTGAAGACAAATCGTTTACTAAGCACCTCATGTGTCAATGGCCAAGCATCTACTAAAAGTGGAGTACTCTCTAATGGTGCTCTCAAAACCTCGGTACTCTGTGACACGTAAAAATCCCGGATTTATCTCCACCGCAATCTATTGAGCCAATGCTACCTCTCGTTCATGTTGCCTTGATTTCTTGGTAGACTAATTGTGTGCATTAAGGGAATCAATATTCTATTCTAATTCTTGGATTATTTATTCTTGCATTAAGAGTACATTGGAAGTGAAAGTGTTCATGGTGCCATCTGCCTGATAGTCAGGGATCTGAACTTTAGAGAAACATATCAGCAGGTGTAGAATATCAGGGCGATTGTACTGCCATTTTTTAATAAGTTCTGGACCGTACAGTAGTCTCCGATGGGGGCCTCACGATGCCAATGATGAAGTGTGCCATTATCATTCTGATGCACGTACTAATTGTGGATGTGACTGTTTCGCTATCTCGTCTTCAACTGTACACAATATCTGATTTCTAACTATGACTATAAGATAATCGATAAAAAGAATCGAACCCAACCCCACAGAAACAAAAGTAGAACCCAGATTCACCACCTTCTACACCAATAGGAGGAGAGGGTCTGTGTTCCAAATTTCCAGGCATGAAACTCTATCTTCGGGAGATCAAACTTGTTTTTGTCTTAAATTGGTATCAATCGTTTGATCTCGTTGCAG